AAATAGTATTTTACCGGCCGTTACTAAACGGAATCCGGCGAAGTTTTGTTGTACCGGTGAGATATTCTCGGTGATAATGTGTTTCGGTTTTTTTTTTGTTATATATAATTATGAAATTAAATTGTATTAATGTAGTGTTAATGGCGATATTAATTATTAATTAACGTTTTTAAAAAGTCTTTTTTGTTAATTAACGGTATGGGGGTCGAGTTTCTTTTTAGTTCCACGTGCTCTGCTTCTCTCCCTTTAAAACCTTTAGTTTTTTGGTCGACTAATTAAAAATTCCTTCATTTTTGGTCCTTTTTTATATAAAATTTCGATTTTGTTGTTGTTGTTGGTGAGGCACGTGTGATCTCACGTGATGAGAACAATTGAAAAGCTTTTGCTAATACGCCTCTAATCATTCTAATTTTAAATACGAAAAGGCTAATGATCATCTAAAAATGTTAGATATATTGTATATACGGTTAAAAAGTATATATATTTAATTTGTAGAATGAAAATAACGTGATATTGCCATGCCATGTAGATTGAGACTACATACGAAGGGGAATGAATCTAAGTTGATTTGAAATGTGACACATGAGAAAAATCAAAAACTAAAATGTCATGAAGAGAGGCAGTTGGGGTAGTTTTATTTAAGTACTCTGGAACCACAGTTGCAATGCTATGCCTGCAAAGTAAAAACAGATCTACAATAGGCGAAATTTGTGTATACATTTCTCTTGGCCAAAAATTTCAAATAAGTTATTTTTCTCAAAAAATGCTTTTTATTTGTGTGAATCTCTTATGATCATGTTTTCGATCGAACATTTTTGTGCGTGTGTGATAAGATAAAAGAACTTAAGATAAAATTTAACAGTAATGTATGAATTAATCGCAATACAAAATTCGACGTGAAAGGTACTTTGGGTTTATGATTTTGAGATGTATATATTACAATTTAAGGTTTATGAATTTTGATTATGTTTAAGACAACAGTTTACATTAGTTTGTTTACTAGGTTAGGCACCGATAAATAATGTTTATAAAGTACTTTATTTATGATTAAAATTATGATTTTTTTTTCACTCTCAGAGTAAAATGTTTATAATAAAAATTAGTATAGTTTTAGTTAAAATAATCAGTTGTAGTTACTGCATAATTTATTTTTGTCACTAGTGGCCAAAATTATTATAATAAATTCGAGATTCGTTTGTGAATATTCGAATTTACAGGAATGTGTTTCACTAAATAATAGACAAACTATATAAATCGAAACAATTCAAATTTGAGCAATCCGAACTTGAACCAAATACATAATATAGTCTGAATTGATACATAAATTATTATACTAAATTACCACAGCCTAATTCGAGTTATACGAACGTGAACCAAAATAATTGAACTAATAGAAAATTACTAATGAATATTATTTTGTTTATGTATTTTATTCAATTTTGTTAATTGATAATTATTTTTTGTATGGCGTAGTC